GCGCCGGTCCGGAGCCCGGAAGCCCGGGACACCGAGCGCCCCGGAGGGTGCGGGGTGGGAGCAGCGCAGGCCAGCGTAGGATCCCCACTCGGGACCTCTTCTGCCACCCTCAGCAGATGCCAAGGTGAGGACTGGAGACGACAGAGTCAGAAGACCAGGTCCACGGGGACGCTGACTGAAGCTGTTTGGAGTGTGGCACAGTGGAAAGTGGGAAAATAATTCTGAATTCACGCACTTCGCAGCGCAGTCATGAATATGAATAGCTGTGAGGGGAAGGAAGGAGGAAAATCAACTCGGATCCTGCAGCTCTCGTGATACCTTTTGGGGATCTGATTAACTGTTCCTCAAATACCTTTTTCCTTGCTGGTATTTTCAATTCTAACCCCCTTCCAAAGTGAAAGGGAAAAAAGTCATCTTATTCTTAAGAACTTGCTCTTTTTCCTAGTGTCTGGTGGGAAGGAAGATGGGGGCTGCCGGGGGAGGGGCGGGCATTCAGCCCTCTGTCCGCAGGGACTGAAGGCGCAGAGCCCTGGCGCCAGGGCTAGGACTCCTGACTTTCGGCGGTGTGCCTGTGATGATTCAACTTCAGATTTTAGTTTTTTGTTGAGACGGTGTCTGGCTGTGTACTCACAGTGTGGCCCTGAAACTCGAGGTACCCTAGCAGACCCGCCTGGGCTGGGATTACAGGCCTGTGCCACCACGGAGGCTTCAACTTTGTAATGATGGGAAAGCCTTAAACATTCAGTTGAAATTGTACTTTGGATTTTGCGTTTGAATCTTGTCCCCAGGCTGGTAATGCATGGTACATAAGACACTGGTGTTTATTCTTTGTATCTCAAACATTTTTTCAAATTTCTATTTTTATTAGTACAAATTTGCATTACCTAATGATTGCATTCATCACAGGGATTTGGTAATGTACATAACACATCTTAATTATTTTATGTCTCCTTCCCGACCCCTCCTTCCCCTCTCCCTCCATCTCTTGGTTTCCTATTTGCAAAAAAATCTCCTTATTTCCTGTTACCTGTTTTTTTTTTAATTTGTTTTGTTTTTTGGTTTCGGGAATCGAACTCGGGACCTTGCACTTGCAAGGCAGGCAATGGAGCCACTGAGCTAAATCCTGGCCCCTGTTTTCTTTTCTTTTTTAATTTGGCTCTTTATGGATTAGGTTACATAAGAGAAACCATGTGATAGTGAATCTTGTGAAGACACTGATACTCTTGCAATGTTGGGTAGTGACAGCAGTCTGTAGCTCCCAGTCAACCACTAGGTCAGGTGGGGAATCAAGGGGTGCTCTCTGTGTGCTGTTTTGCAAAGCTATGGTGTTCTTTTTTGGAGGGGGAGGTGGTTGAGACAGAGTCTCACTATGTATTTCACGCTGGCCTTGAACTCATTGTGTAGCCCAGGCTGGCTTTGAATTTGTGGTGATCCTCCTGCCTCAGTCTCTTGAGTGTGGGAATTACAGGTGTGCACCACCATGCCCAGCCTAGCTGTACTGTTCTGTGGGTTCATTGCATTGAATGCCTTTCCAAACTGACAGCATTTTCATCAGGACATCACCCCACTGTAAGTTGGAGCATCTGTATATTCAGAATGCAGTTCATAGTAGTAGAATGCTTGTCTACCAAGGTCCTGAGTTTGATCTCCAACCCTGGGAAAAAATCTAGGTCACACAGTCATATTTTTTTAGTCCTGGTAGGGCTCTTGGTGGGCGTCTTCTTCATTCCTGCATTTCCAATAAAACCACGCAGAGAATGAAGAGACTGGCTCAGCGGTCTGTGACTGATCCTGGCCTGATTGCCCCTGGCTTATACATCTCTTTGGCACCAGGTCTGAACACCAGCTTCTGCCTGCATGGTGGAGCATACCTGTAGGGAGGCTGAGGCAGAAGGATCGCTGCAGGTTTGAGGCCAGCCTGGGTTACAGGTTGAGTTCTAGACCAGCCTGAACTGCATATTGAGACCTTATCTCAAAGTGTCAAAAAACAAAACAAGAAAAAACTAGGTCTCACACATCAAGGATGTCCTTGGATAAGTTACTTCACATCTGTATGCTTTGGGTTCCTTAACATGTGATTAGTAGCTGGGCATGGTGGTGCATTCCTGTAATCCCAACTCTGGAAGGCTGAGGCAAGAGGATAGTGAGTTCAAGCTAGCCTAGAAATAGGAAGACCCTGTCTCAAAAAGTCAAACCAAACAAAAATGAAGGTGGTGTCAGTACTTGTTATCTCCCTGGGAGCTGCTGAGAGGGTTGAGGGCGCATAGGAAGGCACTGATAGCTCGTGGCCTTCCCTAACAGGATAGGAAGCCCTCGTTTTTTACTTTCCCTCTTGCTGAGATATTTCTTTTCTCTCTGACCTCAGGTTTCCAGAGGTGGATGCCCCCTGTGACTGGAGGCGGGCTGGAGCAGACTGTAGATACCGGCCCCAGCCTGTCATTGCTGGGCAATGGCCCCCAAGCCCCACATATCCAGGGCCCTGAACTCTGTGGCCTGCACTGGAAAGGAATCAGAGGTGTTCTACGTTGCCGCAGAGGAGAACTTGGCTAGTGGAGCTAACGGAGAAGTCGGTTCCTTGGAGCAGAGCAGTTTCTCACAGGAAGCCATATGCGGCCTGGTGGTGGCCTCTGCTGGATGTCTCCATCTGCCCAGTTACAGAGATGTTGAGAGCCGTCAGGAGTCTCAGCCCTGGGGACCAGGCCAGGAGTGGATAAAGCTAGAAAGAGGCACCATGGAAGAGAAGGTATGGCTCATTCAAGCGAGCTGGGTAACCAAAAAGGGTGAGCACTGCTAGAAGATGTAGGGGACAGTGAGGGGACTGAGCTAGAGACAGGACCAGTCCTATACCAGGAGCTCTTTTTTTTTCCCTTCAGTATCAGGGATGAAACTCAGGACCTTGTGCTTGCCAGGCAGGCACAGCACCACTGAGCTAAATCCCTGGCCCAGGAGCTCTTTCATCCATCCCCCATCTGATGGGTCTCAGACTGTCCCATGCTAAACAGGAAAAGGAGCTACAGACCTCCTCAGTGCCCCGCACGGCCCTGCTATCCTTTATCCTGCTATCAGAAAGGATACTTCCTGAAATTGGTAAGGGGCAGCCTTACTGCTTTGTGTGTGTGTGTGTGTGTGTGTGTGTGTGTGTGTGTGTGCTCTTATTTTCGGTGTATTTCCCTCCATTTCTCTTCTCTGCCCTTTTGAGAGGTCACAGCCACTGGCTTTGTGCTTGTTGTTTCGTACTTTTTATATTCCTCTTCCTTCCAGGGCTTTATTTTTCCTGTAGGTTTCATTCTCTGAACCCTGAGACCAGGTGGTCAGTCTCGCTGTTACACACACTCCCTGAGTCTGTCTGTTCTTCTAGATGCCTGTCACCTTGGAGGATGTGGCAGTGAGTTTCACCCAGGAAGAGTGGGAATGTCTGGGTGCCAGCCAGAGGGCCCTTCACCATGATGTTATGTCTGAAACCTTCAGGAACCTAGTGTCTGTGGGTAAGATGCTGGAGTCCCTCGAAAAGCCCTTGTGCTGGGGCCCGAGAGTAGCAGGCTACCCCAGGCAGGTAGATAAGCTCAGTGGGCGAATAAGAAACAGAAGCCTGTGAGTCACTCATGTGCCAGGTACTTTGCTAGGAGCTGTCCTTTTGCATGTCTTCATCCCGCATCTAAATGACTCAGATCAAACCTCTTAAACCAAGCACACGGGAGGTGGCCTGTTGTCCCCATCCAAAGTGAAAAGTCAGAGCCTAGGTCCAACTCAACTCTTTCTCATTCCCACTCACCAGCCAAAATATTTATGCTGAAACCAGGTCTGATCACCAAGGCTGAGCAAGAAGAGAGACAGCGGAGAGCAGACCTCCATTCCCCACGTGGAGAAGCCCTCCGTGCAGGTAAGTTGTGAAGGAGAGAAGATGGGCCAGGGCCGTCCGTGGACGGAGGGCGAGCTGCCTGAGGATCAAGGATCCATGTGCCCTTCTCATCTCACCTCTCCATTCTGGCCAGACTTTGAGGTCAGAGGCTTGAGTCCCTCGACTTCACGGTGAGTATCCAAGCCTCTCAACAGAAGTGGATGTGTTCAGTGTGTAGGCACTGAGTAACTATGTTGGTTGTAATTAATTAGAAAGTTCTTTAGATGATAAAAGGGAGGCAAGGAAGATAAACTAGAAGGTAGGTTAGAGAAGAGACTTGTCCCTGGAAATAAAGGATGGCAAGATGCCAGGCGCAGTGGTGTTGCCTTAATCCCAGCACTTTGGAAGGCTGAGGCAGAAGGATCCCAAGTTCAAGTCCTGGTTGGGCTTAGAGAAACCCTGCCTTGACATAAATTTTTTTTTAAAGGGCTGGAGTGGCCCATGGATTTAGCACAGTGGTACTATGCCTACTTTGCAAGCACAAGGTCCTGAGTTTGATCCCCAGTACGGAAAAACAAGCAGGCTGGGGATATAGCTCAATCCCCAGTACTGCCAAAAAAAAAAAAAAAGAAAAAAAGAAAAAGAAAAAGAGAGAGAGACTTGAGAGATGTCAAGCCAGGTTGATTATACTCCTAGCTTGCCAGAACAGTCTCAGTTTATACTTCCCCGTCTTGATTATTAATAATAACCATTAATTATTGATAATGATTTTACTCTCCAGTGTCCCGCATTTCATGATATTGTATGCAATAGTCCTCTTTTGGGCTGGGGCTACACATCAGTGGTAGAGCACTTGCTTAGCGTGCGAGAGACCCTGGGTTCCATGCCCAGCACTGGGGTGGAGGGTCCTGCTCTGTCTATGGGGGATTGACCTCAAACCCCCAGGGCATGTTAGGAGCCACAGCCACAGTCAACGCTGAACCCCATATATGCTATTTCATCCTATGTTTACATACTTGTAATAAAGTTTAACATGTAAGGCACAGAAAGAGATTAAACAACAATAATGAAATAGAACACCCATCATAATCTGTAATAAGTTTTATGAATGTCATCTTTCTCAGTGTTTTCCATTTGATATTTTGGGCTGCGGTTGACCCTGGGTAACTGAAACCACGAAAAGCAAAGTTATAGGTGGGGTTATTACTGTATATCACATAGGATCTGGAGGTGCTGTAGGGTACCTGTGTGGGTATGAACAATATGAGAGAAGATGGAGTTTAAGGAATGCCGCTGTAAGTTAGAATTTAGATTGCCGGATTAAGGATTTAGCTCAGGGGTGCTGTACCTGCGTCACAAATGCAACGTTCTGAGTTCGATCCCTGGTACCCTCCCCCCCCAAAAAAAATTTAATCATTGACATTGTTGGAAGATTCCAATACATTTTTATTTGCTTATGATTTGAAAAGCCTGAAGCTTTTCTTATCTCCAGCTCCTGAGGTCCAAAGGTGAGGGAGAAGGTGTTGGGTGGGAAAGGGAGGGGCTGAATACCCAGGCTGTGCTGCTCTCTCTCACGATGAATCTTCTGTTCTCCCTCATTCACTGCAGGACACAGGAAGCAGCAGCATCGAGAGCCTGGTCAGACTCTGAAAGATCCTGGGGCTGGTGGTGACAGGAAGGGCCCCTGTGCTCACAGAGGGCCTGGCCAGAGCCCACCCTCCACTCTGCCTGGGTCTGAGGACAGGAGCCCAGTGTTCCAGGCACCTCAGGGTGGGCTGCCCTTTTCCTGCTACACCTGTGGCAAGGGTTTCAGCAAGATCTCCTACCTCCACAGCCACCAGTTTGTCCACAGCCCCAGGAAGACCAACAGCTGCGGCCAGTGTGGGAAGCTGTTTCGCAACCCCAAGGCCCTGAGCTACCACAGGCGCATGCACCTCGGGGAGAGGCCCTTCTGCTGCTCGCTCTGTGACAAGACCTACTGTGATGCCTCTGGACTTAGCCGTCACCGCCGTGTCCACCGAGGCTATCGGCCCCATTCGTGCCCTGTGTGTGGGAAGGGCTTTCGGGACCAGTCAGAGCTCAAACGTCACCAGAAGATTCACCAGAATCAAGAGCCAGTGGCTGGAAACCCCAAACGTACTGTTGGGAGTTCAGGCACGGCAGCGGGGTTCCGGGCTCCCATCCTTGGGGGCCGGCAGCCTCACCAGGGGCTTGTGGATGTGAGCCATGCACCAGCAGCCAGGACCCAGTGCCTTGTGTCTAGAACTAAGGGTCCTGGGGCCCAGACCCAGGTACCTGAACCTAAGAACCAAGCACCAGTGACCAGGAGCCGGGCGCTCAGCACCAGGGCGTCCTGCCTGGATAGACCCAGCTGTCTGCCAGCGAATCCCTCAAGACGCAAGGTCTTCTCCTGCCCACACTGTCCGGCGACTTTCAGCAGGAGAGCCTACCTCTCGAGACACCAGGAGGCACACCTCGGGGAGCAGCTGCTGCGCTGCTTCCGCTGCGGCCAGGCCTTCAGCTCCTCCTCCAGGCTGGCCGACCACCAGCAGACCCACTGGAGGCAGAAGGTCTATCGTTGCCCCGTCTGTGAGCTCTGCTTTGGGGAGAAAGATGGCCTGCTGGACCACTGGAAGGGTTCCGAGGACAGGGGACAGTGCCCGGGGAGCCCCCGGGAGTGCCGGCTGGTCCTGGCTCAGCGGCTCGGCTTCTCCCGTGACGTCACCTCCTCTGTGGCCAGGAAGGATTGGAAACATGGAGAAAATAGAACTTTTAGGATCCATACCCTCAGGAGAGGGGAGGTAAGAAGAAAATGTGTACAGGAGACAGGCAAAAGGGGCAGTGAGGATCCTGAAGCATAAATATAGGCCCTTCTGGCTGAGGTCTTTTCTTGTGTTGGTTTCCCTGAGGACTGAGCTATGGGCTCGCAGCCTGGAGGGAGAAAGGTGAACAGACAACAAAGAAAAGGGAGCAGAAATAGGCACACAGAAAGTCGTGTTATTATTAGTTAGCACCTAGCTGTTTCTCTGTGTTTGATACACCATCAAGTAGTACTTGTTTTTTTATCAGTAATTGTTGAACAAAACTGTGGACGCTCTGATAAGTGTAAAGGTGGGGTGAAAAGGGTGAGGAGAGTGCGGGGTGCAGGGAGGGAAGGCGGCAGGCATTCTCGGGCAGATCGCAGCCTCTTCCCGGGCTGCTGGGGCTGGATGGAGCCCTGGCCTGAGTTCTCGGGTCTCTTCAGCCTCGGATTTGGGTTAGGTGCACTGCGTCCAGACTGCAGTTTTCTCAGCTTCCTCTGTGATGCTTGGATTACCCTGTCCTTTGCCATCCACCTCTGCCCCTTCTGTCCAGTCAGGGCTGGAGTATCAGACGAACGACCACCATTTTCTGTGTGAGGAGGGTGCACTTGATCTCTGGCTCGTAGCCCTGTGGTCCGTGTCATCCGCCGGGACAGTGTCCTCTGACGGCGAGAAGAGCGCCCGCCTGGCTTGGGCTGAGGGAGATGGAGGGGATACGAACGAGGGCGGGAGGGAGGGAAGGGGCGAGGCCGATGGGCTTTGTGGTGTCCGCAGATGGCAATGTCCCCACGGCAGAGAGCACGCGTGTGCAGCTCGGTGGACGGGGCGTCCCCGCGGGCCCGGCAGCCCTCAGAAGGGGTTCCCTGGAAAGAAGAAAGTCGGCAGTGGTCGCTACTGTGACACCTTGGGCCTTGGACCTGCAGAACTCTCTGGGGCCGTCTCCCTTTGCCTCTGGGTGGTCTTGGGACAGCACACAGGTGGCTGCTGTGGAGAATGGGAAAGCGTGCTGGCCGCAGGTCCCACAGGCGGCAGGCAGGGTGCCCGGCTCCCCTGCTGCCCTCGCCCCTGTCCTACACGCTCCAGCCCCTCCATGCTCTGGGACCCTGAACCTTCAGCACCACCCCCCTTCTCTTATTGATTTGATGTGCTTTTTCTGGCTTTTCCTTCTTGGCCTAGCAGAGAGGACTTACTTAGCTCCTCGAGAAACTGCCCTGCAAACAAAGAAACAGGTGATCAGTGGGGACGTCAGCCTCCCCCTTCCCTCCCTCCCTGTGGACCCTGGGGTCCCACGCGGTGTAAGGGGCTCTCCACAGAGGATCTGGGCGGCCCAGGCAGGGCGTGGGGCAGAGAAGGAAGCGCGGAGGGCCCTGGCCACACGCCCGCAGCTTCCCACTCTGGCTCTGAGGCCCCATGGCTGCCTAGACACCGCACCTGCTAATCTCCGGTGTAGCCAGTTGTAGCAGATGATCAAGGCAACCAGAGGTCCAAGAACCGGCACAATTACAAACAGGCTTATCTTCCAGCAGGGCACCCTCAGAAAGTGGGGATCTGAATTGTTCACCAGAATAAACAAGGTTAATGTTTTGCTTGGGCTTTTCTTCCCCCGCCCCACTAGCGATTGAACTTGGGCTTCACACATTCTAGGCAAGCTCTCTACCACTGAGCTATATCCTTAGCCCTTTCAAAAACTGTATTTATTTATTTATTGAGACAAGTTCTCAAAGTTACTTAGCCTAGACTGGAATTAGTGATCTTCCTGCCTTAATCTCCTGAGTAGCTGAGATTACAGGCGTTTGCCACCACACCTGATTTGGATTTCTTATTTTTTTGTACATGGGGGGTTGAGACAGGGTCTCCCTATATTTTAGGCTGGCCTGGAACTCGGAGATCATCCTGCCTTAGCCTCCTGCATGCCTGGATTACAGTGTGCCACCACGCCTGGCTAGACCAGATGCGCACACATATATGCGTGTGTGCATGCAGATGTGCAAGCAAACAGCAGTGCTGAAGATGTACCTCAGTGGTAAGGGCTTGCCTGGGACCTGATAGCCCTGGTTCAATCCCTAGAACTGCAGGCAGCAAAACCGCACAAAACAGCAGAACCTGTGGCTTAATCACCAGTGGAAATCACACATGATAGGTACAGAGGTACATAGTAATTGGCCATGTTAACCAAGGAAAATATGGCATTTTGTGCATTTTTATAGCTGATCATATCCATCCTGCATTACCTTCTTTCCAGTACCCTTTTTCTTGTATATCATGTCCCTTTTATTATTATTATTATTATTGTTATTCCTAGGTTCCACATTTGGGAAAACATGGGATATTTGTCTTTCTGAATCTAGCTTATTGTTCCCATTAAAGTTGTTACAGAAATCTCCAGATACTATTTATGTTTATCAATGTTTTGAAATTACATTATTAGAGTTGCTGCTATATTATTTAATGCATTACTTTTGTTATTTAAAAACATTTGTTATATCAAATTTCTTCAGATGTTGGTAACTACTTCAATACAATGATTTTCTTTTGTAATCCTGTGTGTTTCATGTGTACATTTAAAAACATTAAGGGCTGGGGATTTAGCTCAGTGGTGCCGCTGCCTGCCTGGCAAGTGCAAGGACCCAAGTTTGGTCCCTGGTACCAAAAAAAAAACAACTAAAGAAATAAAAATATTACTGTGGGGCTGGGGAAGTGCTTATTGGAGAGCACCTGTCTAGTATAAACAATGCCTGGGTCTCAGTCCCACGCACTGAAGAAGAAAAACATTCTGGAAGGGGTTCGCTATAATATAAAAGGTGTTACAATCTCATAGATCTCATGATCAGCCAGGCCTGTAATCTCAGCACTCAGAGGCTGAGGCAGGAGGATCGCTGCAAGTTCAAGGACATCCTGGGCTACACAGTGAGTTCATAGATGATGTCTCAAAAAACACAAACGCTAGGGCCAGGGATTTAGCTCTGGTTCTGCTGCCTGCCTCACAAGTGCAGGGACCAGAGTTCAATCCCCAGTACCAAAAAAATAAAGACTTTTATGCTTGGCTTGGTGGCTCGTGGCTGTAATCCCAGCACTCAGGAGGCTGAGGCAGAAGGATCACTGTGAGTTTGAGACCAGCCTGGGCTGTATAGTGAGTTCTAGGTCAGTCTCAACTACATAGTGAGACCCTGTCTCAAAAAAAGAAAACAAAAACACAAACACTAGCATGCTGTTCTGCTGTCCTTGTGCTTAGGCCCTGGATAGTCTGGAGTAAACAGGAAAGGTATCAAGTGGGGCTTGGTGGTTTTCTCTTCCTCTAAAGAGCCCTCCCTCCCTGATGAGTCATGAACAGCTCATTCCGTCAGGAAGGACAGGAGGTTGGTTGTGTGTGCTTGTCTTCCTGTTGCAGTATGTGTCACCTCCCCAGCGGGACAGAGTCTGGGTATGTAAGTATTCCTAGATGCACAAAACAGCTTCTTCAGAGAAAAACAAGCCCGGGAAGGGCCCTGAAAAGGGTGAAATGGGGTGGGAGGCGGGCACTCACCAAAAGTCCGGTGCAGATTCTCTGAAAGAGGAACAAATGGAAATGGGTTTAGTAGAGCACTGAAGAGGGACGCCCTCCCCTCTCCCTATCATTAAATCAGTTAAAATTGGTTCCAATCCCGACACAATAAAAAGGGAAGCCGTAGGATTTTACTTCTACCCTGAGGGAAGAAAAGGGACAGCAAAGATTCTTTCTAAATCGTGGCTGGTTAGGGTTTTATTTTTATTTTTTTTCTCACTGATTTTATTGGTACTTTTCAGGTATACAGTACAGTTTCGTTCATCACTGGGATCTAGGGCTGGGGATTTGGCTCAGGAGTTCCCCTGCCTGCTTCACAAGCACAAAGGCCTGAGTTTGATCCCCGGTACCAAAAACAAAACAAAACTGCATCATTGGGATCTTGTACCTTTATGTGATGTAGTTTGGTTCTAATTTTTTCCCCATACCCTGGTTAGGGTTTTAAATGGTGCATTTTCAGCTGAAGGGAGCACAAGTATTGGAAGAGAGGCAGAGGTGCTCTGAGGAAATGACCATTTCAGTTATTCCAAAAGACCAAAAAGGAGAAATGGAGAGAAGAGGGCCTGAAACTCACCTATTTCTGCTCGAAGTTTCCCTGAAATAGAAGAAGGTAGTGCTTTTAGTTCCTGCTCTGGCACTAGATGGGACCCTTCCACAGCCGGCACCCCTGGCCCTTTGTAGGGTCTGTGTGGCAGCCTTAGCAGTGTGGGAAGGGCGCTGGATTTGAGGGTTCGGGCTCTGTCCTGGCTGCTGTTTGGAGAGTGCTCACTTAGGCAGCACATATACTAAAATTGGATTCAACAGAGAAAAAATACAAGCAGCCCTGTAAACAGCCACGCCCCAGACTGACATAGGGCATCCTCACGTCCCCCACCGCTCCTCCTTATCCAGGTTCTTGATCACATTGCCCCTCCACCGTGCTGGGCCGTCACATCCCATCTGAACAAGAATGGGAGAAACTGGACATTGGGCGAGCAGATGCTTTGTGAACTGGCTCCACCAGACACTACATGACATTATGCTTTCTTTCTTTCTTTTGGTACTGGGGATTGAACTCAGGACCTCTCACTTGAGAGGCAGAGGGGGTGCCACTGAGCTAAATCCCCAACCCTAGTGACATTATGCTTTCTAATCCTCCCTGCAATTTAGTTTAGTATTTTGTTTTGTTTTGTTTGTTTTTTGAGATGGGGTCTCACTATGTAGTTGAGACTGATCTGGAATTCACTATGTAGCCCAGGCTGGTCTCAACTCCAGTGATCCTCCTGCCTCAGCCTCCCGTGTGCTGGGATTACAGGTGTGCACCACCATGCCTAGCTAGTTTTGTTTTTTGACAAAAAAAAAAAAAAAAAAAAACCCCACACAAATAAACAAACAGGGTCTTGCTACATAGTTCAGGCTGGCCTCAAATTGATAGGGATCCTGCTGCCTCAGTCTCCCCAGTGCTGGGATTACAGGTGTGCACCCCCACACTTATTTCCATTCTGGTTCTCCCTGCTTAGCCCTGATGGCTGAAATCCTTTCTTTGGAGATCTAAGCATCTGGATGAATTCAGGGTGAAAGAGAAGGCCCCATTATTGATCCGACTGGTGTCCCTGCTGCTTTGCGGGACCAGCCCTACTTACTGCTCTGTCTTCTGGGTGACGGTAGGGTGAGGGCTGAGAGTCCTTGTGTTTTGGCCTTGAGGGAGAAGTGGGGGCTCTGCAGGCAATGCTCTGGGCACAGAAGAAGAGTTCGTTCTGCTCCTTGTCCAGTGGAGATGGCGGAGGAAGCCATTCTGAGCATGTGCTAGGTCAGAGATTTTTCCCTTCAGAGCCTCCTTAAACCCTCCCAGCGTCTCAGACCGGCCAGACTCAGGCGCTCGCACAACCCAGGAGCTGAAGCTGCTTTGTGCAGGCCGTGCAGCATCCTGAGCTCTGCCACGCAGAACCCTCTGCTTTAGTCAGCCACTGAACCAGGCCCGGCCTCACCTGCCTCCTCCACAGATGGGGCTGAAGTACATTAGACAGTGCTCACAGAGAAGCAAGTTCCTATTATCATGGGCAGCTAAGTTAGAGAGAGGTTAATGTGCAGTCAGAGAGGGACTGGGCTCATGAGGAAGTCAGCACAAAAAATACAGACTTCAGAACTGTGGCCGGGGGAGGCACATCTGAAGAAGCCCGAGCCTGAAGATGAAGATGTAGTGGTCAAGGGCCAGGGATTTAGCTCAGTGGTACAGCGTCTGCCTGGCAAACATGAGGTCCTGAGTTTGATCCTAGTACCAGGAAAAAAAGACACAATGACTAGACTCACATGCCTCCTGAAGGGAAAAGTTACTTGGAATTATTCTGGGATTAGCACCAGCTAAATCCAGACAGGTTTCAGTTTCCTGGGTGGGTGACCAGAGTACCTGAACCTACCCCTTCCCAAAAATGCCTTTGTTCTTTCCATGCAGCCTTGCTATGTGATTCATCCCCTATTGGATCAGTACTAGCAAAGTGGCTATACTTGTAATCCTGTAGGTTGATTGTGGTCTGCCCCATGTTGTACCGACTTTTGTTGTATAAATTACTCCTGACACGGGTACTCCGTGGCAACCCATGCAGAACCCCGCCTGCCTCTCAGGAGCTACCTCTCTCAATAACCCTTTCCTACTATTAATCCCCGTTGTCGTTTGGAATTCATTGTTTGATTTCATGGTACATAAACCGGGCACATCTGATATCTGCCAGGTTGAGATTTCTCCTACATCACCCTCATTCACAGGAAAGCTTTCAGTAAGTTCTGTGCTTTGAGGATAGGCTGATGTGGGCTGGCATTTTGATCTCTAGCTTTCAAGACTGATGATTTTCCCTATTTTCAGAGTAACAAGGCTGTACAATGCGTTTGTTGTTCTTACGGCGCTCTGAACCAAAGTCCCTAAGGAGTGAACCTTAACTGACCTGGCTGTCAAAGGCCAGTCCCTGTCAGGGAAGGAGCCCCTGGCCAGCTCTGCCCCGTACCTCTCAGTCTGTGCTGCAGGCAGAGGAAGACGAGGCCCACGGAGATCTGCAGGAGGAGCATGGGCAGCACAGCGATGAGAACCAGCACTCCAGGGCTGACCCAGTAGAAGGGATCTGAAAGGCAGAAGCAGCCTGAATCCTCAGCTCCCAGAAGGGCCGGTCCTGGGGCTTCAGAAACCCGATCACACAAAGCTGTATCACCAAGATTTGAAGAAGGTGACACAGCACTGACACTGAGCTAGGGCTGGTGGCTCACAAGGACAGGTGCTTCCAGTCAGGAAGGCCTGAGGGCTGGCCAAGGAGCTTGTATCTGACTTTCAGGCTATGGGATCTTAGGCTGAGGGGTGACAACAGCAGAGGCACTGGCACAGGGCTGGAGGGGAGAAGGTCAATTAAGAGCTAAAGTAAAAGGGCTGGGGATGTAGTTCAGTGGCATCATGCCTGCCTCGCAAGTGGAAGGTCCTGAGTATGGTCCCCAGTACCAAAAAAAAAGTTAAGGTAAAAAACAACCCAAGCAAGCTGGGTGTGGTGGCTCATGCCTGTAATCCCAGCACTCAGGAGGCAGAGGCTGGAGGATCGCCAAGAGTTTGAGGCCAGCCTGAACTACAAAGTGAGACTGTCTAAAAAAAAACCACACAAAACACAGACAAACAAAAAACAACCTGAGCCCACACAGCAGTGTGCAAAGGTGATTCCAGCTCTCCGGGGTCTGAGGCAGGAGGATCACTATGACTTGGAGACCAGCCTGGGCAACACAGTGAGTTCCAGTCTCCCACGATTTCCATCGGGAGACCCTCTCTCAAACACATTTAAAAAAAAAAAAGCCAGCCTCCCGCCAGCCGTGGTCTGGGTGTCAGCTGTCCCACAGCTGAGCGGGACCTTTGTCACTGTGCTTCCTCTCCTTTCGGCAGCCTGTTGTGTTATTGTCAGTTTAACAACCTAAAGGCTTCCTCTGCCTCTCTTTTAGGGGTGGGGAGGTAGTGGGGAATTGAACTGGAGACCTTGTACTTGCGAGGCCAAATCCCTGGCTCTCTCTCATTTTAAAAGATATCTATATCTATATCTATATCTATATCTATATTTATATCTATATATATATTTTTTTTTTGGAAGATGGGGGAAAGCAGGAAGAGAGAGAGGTAGACTGCTACTCTGAACAAGTAGGAAGCATTTGAAAGTGAAATGCTCCTTTTTTTCTTTTTCCAGGATTGAACCCGGAACCTTGCGCTTGCAAGGTAGGCGGCAGAGCCACTGAGCTAAATCCCCAGCCCTGTTTATTCTTTTTGATTTTTGACGCAGTTTCTCACTGTGTACCCCAGGCTGTTCTGGAACTCACAGCAGCCCTCCTGCCCCCTCTGGGATTACAGGCGTTTGCCCTCAAGCCCATCTTTCACTTTCTAATTTAAACTGTTCCCTAGAATTTGGCGCTTTGGTTTTAGTTCCATTATTATTCAAAATAAGGACCAGAAGGCAGACAGCACGGCCTGCTGATGTAAGGCAGAGAAGCCTACAAAGGGTGCCGGCCAAAGCAAGCCCGACCTGGTGCCCTGCAGCGGAGAGTAAATTCACACCTCAGGGAAACCCTGGGACAAACGCGGCTGTGTGGAGCCTGTCTGGATCTTATTCAAACGAACTGACTGTAAAAATGCATTTACTAAGCCATCAGAAAACCTTACAGGCCAGAGATTGAGCTCAGTGGTTCTGCCTCCTGCCTTCCAAGTGCAAAGTCCCCAGTTCTGATCCTCAATAACAACAACAAAAAACAAAACAAAACAAAAACTCCCCAAAACCTTACAGATAAGCATTTTATTATATCAAGGAATTTTTGTTGATTTTTTTTTTTCTAAGAGGGTCTGGCTACGTTGCCCAAGATGGCCTTGAACTGAGGCGATCCTCCTGCTTCAGCCTGCCCAGTGCTGGGATTACACACATGCGCCACTACAACTGGTCTGCTGAGTTTTAAAAATGTAATAATAGGACTGTGGTCATCCTGTCTTTTCTGTTTTTTCTAAGCATTCTGTGCTTGACTGAGTGTCTAGGCAGGAGCTGATCGCACCTCGTCACCTCGTGGGATTTGCCTCAGCAACTCAGGTTGGCAAAGAGTGCTGTAGGTGACCTTGGTTTAACAACCACAGCAGCCAGGAGATGGCTCTTGCAGGCCCAGTGTCCTCTCTACTTTTGAATGTTTTTAAATTTTTGTGATGAAATGTTTAAAGAAGGTACTGAGAACTGGGCATGGTAGTGCCCACACTTGTAACCTCAGCCCTCGGGAGCCTGAGGCAGGAGGATCATTGTGAGTTCAAGGCCAGCCTGCACTGCATCGTGAGATCCTGTCTCAACAAAACAAAACAAAACACCCTAAAAAAAAGTAAAACAATAAAAAGATCAGAAATCTTTTACAGAAAAAGGAGAGTTTATTATATCTGAAACACAAAAGCACAGTTAGTACATTTCATTCCTAAGCTTCTCTCCCTTCCTGGCCACCCAGGGTGCTCCTGGGGTCCTGGATGGCTGTGAAAGAGTCTTTGTTTAGAGGGGCCGAAGAGGCTCAGAGGAAAACTCTCTCCCCGGCGGCAGTTTTTGGGCTTTCTTCCTCCTTTTCTGGTGTTGGCCTCTGAGACTATGTGGAGGAGGCAGTTACTGGATTAGAGGCCACTGAGCCAGAAAGAGGAAAATCTATACACTGACGTCTTCCCTGTTGAACTCTTCGAGGGTAAAAACGACCCAGCACAGACAGCTGCCTGAAGAACCACCTTGTGATTCCCAGAGCGGTTTCCAGGCCCTGTCTCCAGAGATGGCGCTCTGTCACTGTGGGCACAATGCCACCTTCCAGTCACCCCACACAAATACAGAAGCCAGGGAGGGACTGTGCGATGTTTGCATGAGTAGGGAGGAGGCACAGGCCCAGGCTCTCAGAACGCTTCTGTTCTTCAATTAAACAGGCACTAACTTTCCGAGCTCCTCCTATGCCCCTCCTGAGACAGAATAAATATCAACGTGCGGAGTCCTCCAGCGCCTACGCTGTTTGGGAGAATGAAGGGTGAACACAAAAGCTACAGGTGACATCCATTTCCCTCTGTAACTGTGTTTAGATCCTTGCTGTGCGTGTTCCTTCCCTTGCACTGTGTTTCTATGAATGCGCCTGGCGGGACTGCTTCTCCTAGGGTGGAGGATTTAGCTAAGTGGCACCACACCTCGCAAGTGCAAGGTCATGAGTTTGATCCCTGGTCCTAAAAAAACAAAACAAAACAAAAGAGTGCTTCTCCTCAGGAGGCTGAGGCAGGATAAGCCAAAATTTGAGGCTAGCCTGGGAAACTCAGCGATTCAGTGAGACCCTGTTATGGCTTGGGTCTAGATGTTCCCCCAAAGTTTCATGCAGTCATAGGTGGAGCTTTTCAGAGGTGGCTGAATCTAGAGTGTGTGACTGACTCATGGTACGATGCTAGGATCGAGGTCACTAGGATTAAGGGTATGAGTGCTATGAGTGCTAAGTAGCCTGGATATAATATGAGGGATAGAAAGAGCTGTAGTCTTCCCTTGTTGCTTTGCTGCTGACTGCCCACCATGAACTGTTTCTTCTTTCTAAAGCCACCCTGTCTTGGAGCCAGCCTACTATGGTCTGAAACCTCTACAAATGCTGACCTAAATAAACCTTTCCTGTGGATGTTGGGTATTTTATCTCAGCAACCAGAAAAGTAACTAAAAAGTAAATAAAACAGATCCTGTCTCAAAAAACAAAATAAAACAAAACAAAAACAAAGAGGGCTGGGATGTAGCTCAGTGAGAAGTCCCTCGGTTCCATCCCCAGCATAGGGAGTGATAGTTTCTCACCTAAGGAAATAATATATACATGCTGAAGAAGAGATAATGTTCTTCTTTATGACTAATAAATAAAAAGACATTCCTAGGTGAAACCGAAAAGCCCATCTAGATCTTACATTAACTTATGCTTTTGTTTTTGTTTTTTTGTTGTTTTTGTGAGACAGGGTCTCACTATGTAGTTGAGACTCAATATGTAGCCCAGGCTGGTCTTGAACTCTCAGCGATCCTCCTGCCTCAGACATTAACTTATAAATACATAGTCCCTTCCAGGCGTGGTGGTGCATGCCTCTAACCCCAGCACTCAGGAAGCTGACCAGCCTGGGCTACATAGTGAGTTCCAGGTCAGCCTCAACTACACAATGAGACCCTGTCTTGAACCCCCCCCACGCAAAAAAAGTAAATAAAAATAAATCCATTGTCCCCTGTAGCAGCACAAAATAATCAGAAATAGATTATTGTGGATGTTTGCTGCCTGCTCATCTCATCTTCTCTATTTTGCCTTTTGTCTTTCTGAGGCAGGAGGGTCGCTGTGAGTTTGAGGCCAGCCTGAACTACACAGTGAGACCGTCTCAAAAAACCAAAAAACATAAAAATTAAAAACAGAACTGTTCTTTACCTTCTCTGATCTGTACTCGCTGATGTAGCTATCGCTGATGTACCTATCATGTAAACTTCTTCTGAGACAGGATCTCCCCAGAGAGCCTCCTCGGGCCTGCCTCTCTCTGGAGTGCTGGGACTGCAGGTGTGTGTCCCACCATGGCCTGTTCCCTCCGTCCCTCCCTTCTGTAGTAGCCAGGATCTTGTTCATCCTAGGCAAGCGCTCTTCCCCCGAGAGATACGTTCATACCCTTTTTCTCTTTTTGGGGGTGGTATCAGGGATTGGACTTGCCTTGACCCTTGACCTCATGCTTGCCACGGTACCACTGAGCTAAAGCCCCAGCCCCTGAGCTACAGCCTCGGCCCCTAGACGTTTTCAAAAATTTTTATTTTGTGACAGTGTCTCACTAAAGTCGTCTCATCCTTTCCATCCTTCCACCTCTGCTTCCTGGGTAAGTGGAATCACAGACCTGTGCCACTGTACTTAGATATACTTTTATGTGATTAGATAGATACGATCACATGGATAATTAGGGGCTGTTCTTTTTCATTCTTTGGTTGGTTCACATTTCTATTCTCTCTTCTCTTCTCTTTACACCAAAGTGATCCATATTAATTTTCTTGTGGGCATCTTTTCATGGTTTTCTCGAATACATGTACACCCCAATATGTATATCACCCTCAGAAACACGGAGTCATGTTTTCGTTGCCTATATTCTATACTTTGCCTTTATTGCTCAACAATTCCTCAAGAAATGCTTTCAAGCCACCTGGTATAGCTAGCTCTAAAACAGCCTTTTTACTGGCTGCATAATATTCATGGCAGAGATATCATCATTTAACCAGCCGTTTCCCTGCTCGTGAGCATTGACTTGGATTCCCCTCTCCTTCCCAAAGCCCACGGAGACGCAGCAGACACTCCAGGAGCTCCGTGCGCTGTTTTACTTACCTGTGGGACCGATTCTCGGGAACGGGACGCTTGTGCCGAAGAATCGCGTCTCAACTGAGCAAGACCGGAGCCTCAACCACCCGCGCCACGCCCCTCACCTTCCACTTTCAGCTCCACCGCCGCCTCCTCTTGGTAGGAATGGTCTCGGAAGAAGCAGGTAAAGCCGCCCTCGTCAGAGAACCTGACGCTCCGGATCCTGAGGGTCGCCTTCCCCTCCCCGAGGGCGTCGGTCAGCAGCTCGGTCCGGCCCCTGTACTCGGGGGCCTGCTCCGCGTCCTGGTCCTGGCCCTGTCGGTACAGGTGGACCACCCTGGAGAAGGGCGGCCGGTACCACCCCACCTCCATGCCCGAGGCGTTCTTCCCGGGAGAGATGCGACAGGGCAGGTCCACGGCGTCCCCGACCAGGGCCCGGAGCGGGTGTGCTGGTCCCATCACCCTGAACTGTCCTGTCGGAGACAGCAGGGACACGATGCCGAGGGTGCGGGGGGAAGGGGCGCTCAGCTTCAATCTCTTTCTTCGTTATTTTCTTCTGTGTTTGGTTCACAGCATTTATTTTACAGTTAACGTTATCGGTACATTTTAGGTGTTCGATATAATGACAGTTCTTCCTTCCTTTCCTCCCTTTTTCTTCTTCATTTATTTATTTTTTTTCAGTACTGAGGATTGAACTCAAGGCCTTTCCACTGAACTATATTTCCAGCTGCTTTTTAATTCTTTATTTTGAGGCAGAATCTCACTAAGTCACTAGCTCCCCAGACAGGACTCGGACTTACAGTCCTGCCTGATTCAGCGTCCTGAAGTGCTGAGGTGACAGGCTTGCACCACGACGCCTGGTTTGAGTGAGTGTCTCAACATCTAATTTTAATTTTCCTTTTTTTTTTTTTTTTCAGGCAGGGTCTCACTTTGTAGTTGAGACTGACCTGGAACTCACTACGTAGCTCAGGCTGGTCTTGAACTCACAGCGATCCTCCTGCCTCAGCCTCCCCGGTGCTGGGATGACAGGTGTGCACCACCATACCCAGCCTCAAATTTGATTTTCCTAGAGCCTCCCTGTCTGGTTTGGCTCAGCTGGTTCCTATTTTGGCCTTAGAGGGTTTGTTGCCGTCATGCGCCCCTTTACTGCCTCTCTACCGGTTTCCAGGCCTCGATGCTTATTCCCAACCCACCCCCCAGATTGTCCTCTGAGACCTTCTGCTCAGGGAGTGCCTGTGTTTCAGACTTACATTTTCCTTTCTTGTGCTGCTGGGGCTTGAGGCTATCACACTGAGCTACATCCCCATCTTTTCTTTTCTTGTTTTTGAGGCAAGGTCTTGCTAAGTTGCCATGGCCCAGGTTGGGCTTGAATTTGCAATCCATCTGCCTCAGCTTCCCCGAGTGCTGGGATTACAGGTGTGTAATGTGCTCAGCTGTTTCAGATGTCTTTAGATGCTTTGCCTTCAGCCTCACGGGAGCCCTGAAGCCTGCTCTGAACGCCATCCTGGTCTTTCTCCTACACAGAGCCAGTCTCTTCAGTGACTCTGGGCTGCTGGGAGGGGAGGTGGTTTCTCCCTGGCTTGGGAAGGCTTTTTTGGGAGCACATGGATGTGTCTCTTTGAGAGTGTCTCTGTTCTCTGTTCCTATTCTTTCTTTCTTTCTTTTTTTTTTTTTTTTTTGGTACCAGTGATCGAACTCAGGACCTTGCACTTTGCAAG